CCTTCATGCCTAAGGCAGGACTAGAACTCACCATCTCCTGGTAATTGCTCCTCTCATGCCTAAGGCAGGACTAGAACTCACCATCTCCTGGTAATTGCTCCTCTCATGCCTAAGACAGGACTAGAACTCACCATCTCCTGATGATTGGCCCAAAGTCACCCAGGTGGCCTTCATGCCTAAGGCAGGACTAGAACTCACCATCTCCTGATGATTGGCCCAAAGTCACCCAGCTGGCTTTCATGTCTAAGGTGGGACTAGAACTCACCATTTTCCAGTGATTAGGCCAAAATCTAGAACTCACCATCTCCTTGTGATTGGCCCAGTCACCCAACCGGCTTTCATCTCTTAAGAGAACTAGAACTTGCCCTCGCCTGGTTTCTAGCCTGGTGTCTCAATGAGTAGATCAAGCTTGCTTTTGTTGCGCAACAATGAGTGTCTTTATTATTCTTGTCATTTAGAAGGGGAGAAACACACGTCCCCGCAGCTTCGACTGTGCCCTTCCGCCGAGGTTACTGAGTGAAGCGTCGAGGACTGTATTTGCGCTCGAACTGGGCGACATCAAACTTCCTCTTGCAACCGGCATAATTCATGTAGCGGATCTTGCCAAAGACGGCCCTTTCAGCCCACCCTTGATCGTGGATCCCACAGATGGACCACATGCAGCCTAACAAGAGACCAGAGAACAAGGCTAGCCATACCTGGCCAAATAAAGTGTCTAATCTAATCTAATCTAATTTAATCTAATCTATAATCTAATCCAACCCAATCTAACAACCTATAATCTAATATAATCTAATCTAGAAAGATCTGAGTTTTAAATGACACACTTTATTGACATATGGATTCACATAATTTATAACAACATAACAACATAATCTAGAAAGATCTATCTGAGTTTAAGTGACACATTGAGATGGATGAACAATCTAATCTATAATCCCGTTCTAATCTATCTATTCTAGAAAGATCTGTCTGAATTTAAGTGACACACTCTGGATGTATACCTAATCTAGTCTAGTCTAGATTAATCTATAATCTAATTAATCAAATCTAGAAAGAGTTATAGTTTAAGTGACATTCTATTGGCATGTGGGTACACACATGATCTAATCTAATCTAATCTTTAATCTCTTCTAAACTAATCTAGAAAGATCTATCTGAGTTTAAATCACCCTCTGGATGCATACCTAATCTAGTCTAATCTAGTCTAGACTAATCTATAATCTAATCTAGTCTAATTAATCCAATGTAGGATTTATAGTTTAAGTCATACATTCTATTGGCATATGGATGCACACATAATCTAATCTAGTCTAATCTTTAATCTCGTCTAATCTAGAAAGATCTGCGTTTAAGTGACATACTCTATTGACGTAGAGATACACATGTAATCTAATCTAATTTTTTAAACTAATTCTGATCTAGAAACCCTAATGCTGGGAACGATTGAGGGGAACAGAAGAAGAAGGGGACGGCTGAGAAGGAAGGGGCTGGATGGAGACCCGTAAGCAGTCGGCATGAGCTTAAATGGACTCCAGAAGATGGTAGAGGCCTGGAGGAACGTTGTCCATGGGGTCGCGATGGCTCGGACACGACTTCCCGGCTAACAACAACAAATCTAAAAAGATCTATTTGAGTTTAAGTGACACAAACTCTTTGATGTACGGATGTACACACAACCAGTGCCCCAACTACCGTCGATCTCCAAGAGATGCTGAGATCTCAGCTACTTCTCCCATCCCTCGCTTAGGAGCCGTGCGATCAACATGGATAACTAAGAGACTCTGGAAAGAGGCCGTCAAGCAAAACCTTAAACTTATGAAACTACATCCATTACGCATGTCATTCCCCGCTCTGGTATGGGTTTAGCGGCACAGGGAATCCTCGCTTAATGACCATCCTACTTCACAAGGGCCAGAGAGAAGCCCAAAGACTAAGTTGTGGGTCCTTTTCCTCCAAATTCCTTGGGGGACCTCCCAGCCTCTCCCATTACTCACCTACGTAACCATTGGGGTCTCTGCCGTCCAATTCGTAGCGGTCATTCAGGTAGATGCTAAACTGCAGGGCCTCCTCCGGTGATCTGGTCCACTCCAAAATCTTCTTGGCCCAATACATCCGCAGGAAGCCATGCATCTTCCCTTCGTGAACCATCTGGAGCTGAGATGGAAGAGGGGGGGAAGGACTGGTGAACTTCGCATGTCCTTGAAGAAAGCTAGTGTCAACTCGTCACATATTTCTATGGTCTTTTTAGAGTTGCCAACAGAAAGGGAGGGGGAGCAGTGCGGCAGCTTGGAAACCGAAAGTGCATTCCATAAATGTTTTCAAAGATAGTAACTAGGTGACTGAAGTTTCTGCCGTGAGCAAAATTCTAACTGGAGACCATGATTGATAACTCTTGGCTATGGATGCATCCCATTGGAGAATATGAATGATGATACACCCCAGGGGGTGGGGGAAAACCAGGGTCAAGGGTGACAATGAATTATGTGCCAGAGCCAGCTACACCCAGGCTGTCATGCCTCTGTTGGAGTCCGAGGGAGAGGAGGAACAGCCGACAGGGAGTGGGAGTGTGGCTCCGGAGGTTGTGGAGGAAACTGGGGAAGGGCACAGGCCGGCTGGGCATTCAGAGGAAGACCCAGGCCCATCCCCTTTTCATCCTAGAGCACGCTGGGAGGAGTGGATAAGGGAGAAACGTGAATGGTGTGGTCTACAGGGGAGGAAAGGGCCCTGATCCCCTTCATGGGCTGCAGCTGGGAGGACTGTTTAAAAGGGCAAACTGCACATGGCTCAGTGCTGGAAGCAAAGCGTGAAATATTTCTAGTTTGTCAGATCTTATCTGAGTTCTGGCATCCTTCCCTGTGTGTGTGTATTTCAATAGTTGTGGATATCTTCAAGCCCTTGTCTCATTAATTGCTTCAGTGTGGTTTGTGTTGTTTTTTCTATTTATAATTTATATGCATTTTGAGTTTGAACGGAATTTCTTCCTTTTCGCAACTGTTTGTGGGGGAGTTTTTTCTCCAGTGAATGATAATTGGACTTTTGAAGCCAAGTTGAAGGAATTAAAGGGACTTCACCTGGTTTTGTGACTTTGTTGCTTTTGTATCCCACCCCGGGTCATCACATCTATATTCCTTTTGTCATACTTTTCCAGCAGGATGCCCAACAAAAAATATTTCTGGTTTCAAATCTATATGCTGCCTTATCATTTTCCCCAACCAAGTTATGTCTTTTTGTCCAATATTTTTTTTTTTACTTTTGCGATCTTCTGACAAGCAAAATGTCAACCCATATAATATTTATCATGAGGAATGAAATAACATGAAATGATAAAACATATTAAAAGGAAAATGGAATAGGTAATGATAGGATGTGAAACTGGATGAGAAATCTGGAAATATAATTATGATTATGTATGTATGTTAAAACCTGGAATCGCGCTGTTCACTCAAAGAGATGTTTAAAGAATAAAAAAATAAAAACAAATTTGGGGGAAAAATCCTAGTCAAATGCAATTAACCAGGATCTCCTAACCATGTTTCCTCTTGCCTTCGACCTACCTGTGCAGCGTTCCACAGGGGGTCGTGCGTCTTCCCTTCTTCTAATTGCTCCAGGGTGTACAGGTAAGGCCTCTTGTCCTGGGCATGGAGCTTCAGTGTGGTCTTGGCCCAGTCGTAAGCACCTTTGGAAGAATGTACACCTGTCAAAAATGTTGGAGAGCAACCGTCCCAGAGTTGTGGCCTATCAGCTGCCGGTCTCTCCAACAACCGAATCAGAGGAGGAGGTGTGGGAGTCGGGTCAGCATCAGGACAACCTGAGAGCTCCGAGGGGGAAGAGGGAATAGAGCTGGCAGAGAGAGACAGACAGAGACAGAGGCGGAGCCTGGGCCGTCCGTCAGCCCTCCGATGGAGAGTCAACAGCCCCAGGTCTGGAGGTGGCTGATGAGAAAGAGGAGGAACAGCTGGGTCCAGTGCCTGATTCACAGAAGGCAGAGGAGAGGAGAGCAGTGGAAATCTATGGGCCGATACTTGGGATGGAAGAGCCATGTCTGGAGGTGGCTGATGAGGAAGAGAAGAAACAGCTGGGTCCAGTGCCTGATTCGCAGAAGGCAGAGGAGAGGAGAGCAGTGGAAATCTATGGGCCGGTCCTCGGGGCAGAAGAGCCGCCGCTGCTAGCGAAGCCCCATCTTGGCTCTGGGGATAGGGGGCGGAGATGAATAGATGTGGCAGACAACTATTCATCTCCCTGCTGGATGGACTTGTTAGCCGGCGGTGAGAGAGAAATGTTTTGCCGGGGCTGCCGGCGCTCCTAATTAAAGGAATCTTTGAGTTAACTTCAGAGGGTTTGTCGTGTTTGGGGAGTCAAAACACCCAGTTGGAAGGAGAGGTCAAACAGGGAATTAGCCTGGACTCACTACATAAACACAAGGGAGCAAGATCTCACATATAAAGACGCACACCCCAAATGCTTTTGAGCTTTGTCTGGTTTTTCCTACGCGAAAACTGCCCGTCTGGGAAGATTCCTGTATTGCAGGCAGAAAACAATAAAGTAGCTAGTTTGAACTCTACACAACTGAGTCCGGTTATTCACGCCTGACACAGTGGCTGCATTCACACAACCAGGCACAGGTTTAAGGATGTGGCAGAGGCCTTCACCCAACCTGTTTATGGTTCGCTTGGGTATTTGGGTCTACGCGTCTCGTATGAGCCCAGAAGACGGAGGGCTCCATTACCTTCAACCTTGTCGTAGTTGGGGTTGTAGAAACAGAAGTTGTCCGCTAATTCCCGACGCACCACAGCCTCCTCGATGAAACCTTCCACAGACTCTTTGTACCTGGCGCGATGTTTGCGCACCTCCAAAATGGCTCGTTGCACAGCCACCTGACCTACGAGGGACAAATCAGAGGTCATCCATCTGCCCACTAAGGTTACCAGCCTCTGGGCTATCGTTTCTTTATTATTAAATTCATAAGTGCGAGGATCCGGTCATAAGTCCTCACCGTTAATGGTGCCATTGTAACTTCAAATAGTCACTGTTAGGAATAACATGGTTACCTAACTTAGTTTGGGTAAAATAATATATATAGACTATGATTGTGTGTGTCACTTTAAATGCAGACCATGTATTTTGGGTGCGGTTGTAAAATCACCATAAGAGGGAGCAAGAGAGCTCACTGTTTGCTGGCTTTTACTGGATTGCTGACAATGATGGATTGATGGTGATAACTGCGTGTTTTTCCCTTACTATTACTGAACGAAGAAAAGAGGTTTGATTTTCTTCATATTTCTACTGCAAAAAGAGATATATTACTGGACTGATTATTTGTAAGTTTCCTGACCTCTTTTTCGATACTGGACTTTGCTAATGAATAATCCCCGGACGGACTGAACTAAGTGTATGATATATGGACTGTTTGACTATGCTAACAATCTTACTGGAATAAAAACTATTTAACTGGCACAGTGTATCTGTTTTACTGAGTGTAAGCTACAACAAAGTTTATCTCACATATCTGCCTGCCTGCCTGACTACCGTTGCACGTTCTGCTAGGGTGTATATCCCTAACAGTCACTAAGCAAATCATTGTAAGTTGAGCACTACCGCATTCCCACAATATGCCCAACCACACTGCCCAAACCCAACTAGCTTGTTGGCTGGTGGATTCTGGGAATTGCAATCTAAAACATATCTAGAAAACATCAGATTGGGGAAGGCTTCTAAGCTCTGGGTTCAAATTCTCTCCCTTCCCCGTAGCCCCCAATCAATGTACCGGCTGCACCGATGCACCAGCTGGGCTTCCCAAAGGCTCCAATTCCTCTCCCAGCACGCAACTTATGACCGCAACTGAGCCCAACATTTCTGTTGTTAAGCGAGACATTTAAGTGACATTTGCCCCACTTTATGACCTTTCTTCCCCCAGTTGTTACGTGAATCACCTCAGCTGCAGTGTTAGTAACCCGGTCGTTAAGTGAATCTGGCTTTCCTCTTGACTTGTCAGAAGGTCGCAAAAGGGGATCACACAACCCAGGGACAACGCAACGATCATAAATATGAGTCAGTGGCTAAGGGTCTGAATTTTGATCACACAATTCGGAGAATGCTAGAAAGGCTGTAATGGTGAAAGTCACATTTCCCAATGCCATTGGAACTTCGGACGGTCACTCAACAAACAGTTGTAAGTTGAGAACTACCTGGGACTCACCAAAGTGGAACCAGGGTGAGAGGTTGCTGAGGGCTGGCCGGTTGGGGTCATTTCGGTCCGAGCTGAAGCACTTCAGCCTGTCCTTCACAAACTCTTCCAGCACCTTGAAGCCAGAGGCCGATCCGGGCGTGGCCCACTCCACCTCCTTCACGGAGCGATCCACCTGCAAGCTGGAGTAGCAGGCCTCCCAGTTGATGGGCTGCAGGATTTCAAGCAGGGCAGAGATGCCGGTGGGCACCAAGGAAAAAGAACGTGGAGTGGAGAAAATCGGAGTGTCTCGAATGCTCTCGTAGGGCACCAAGTACACACGAGAAGGTTCCGTTAAACTAATTTATTGCTAAAAGCCTATGCGCGGGAATCTTCTCAACTAATATAGGTCATCCCCGGGGAACGAGCGTTCCTTTAGCAAGCGTTTGAAGTGATGCGATCAGCGCCCTCTAGTCAGGGCGAGATGCAAATAGTTTTACTACTGGTTCTGTGGGTGTGGCTAAGTAGGCATGGCCATGGGACTGGGTGAGCGTTTTTTAGCCACCTGGGCCTCAGGGAAGCCTCCTGGGAGGCCATTTCTGCTCCCAGGAGGCTTTGCTGAGGCCCAGGAGGCAAAAAAATGAAGTATGGGGAAACCCCGCAGCACCCCCCCTGCCCCCGTGTGCCCCTTTCGGCCTCATGGTCCTCAGGGAACCCTCTTGGGCAAAGCAGTAAGTTAGCGAGGGGGATCCTGGCATAGCTGATCATCGGAACAGCTGATCATCGGAGGGAAAAAAAAGAAATACTGGTTCAGCCGAACCAGTAGCTGTTTTTTTTAACTATCGATTCGGCCAAACCGGGCAGAACTCGTAGAATACCACCACTGCCCCTAGTGTTTCCAATCGAGGCCCGAAACACTGAATCTTGCAGCACCACGGCAGTTGTTCACCCTTACAAACAACCACAGAGGCTTTGCAACATTTCTCCAGCACATTGCTGGATAAAGTGGAGCTTCCGAGGGGTGCATCTACCCCTTTGAAGCCCCATTCAGTGGTCCAGAGGCCTCTCCTGGCCCGTTGTAGGCTCTGCATGGCCTTCCCTACCCCGAAATATCTCATATGCACTTAACAAACTACACATTCGATTAGCAAATGCGTGGACGAAATGAGGGAGTGATCTCATTCAATGTACGTGATTCACTCCCACGAATTCTCAGGTTGCGAATGGAATGGGCAGGCTCCATTCCACTTGCAATTTGAGGACTACCTGGAGTTGGTGTTGGATTGGATCCATGGAATTCAAAAGGGGTTGGACTTGGTTTGCTTGTGGCTACATAGGGACTCTAGGCTGATTCCTCTTTTGACTCCATCCCCAGATTCTGCCATTTCCATCACCTTGGTCTGAAGCCCAGCAGGGAAAGGGTGCTTGACAACAGGTGGAAATTCGGTCAGAAACTCAGCCAGTCGGTCATGGATCTTCCGCCGAATCGTCCTTGCCCCATATTCCTGCTTGTTCGAGGCAACCCAGCATGGGACAATATTGTGCGCGTCCACCTGAGGATGGGAAATAAGAAGAGCTTGGACAATCATTTTAATGTATGCTGATTAGTGTACGTTCAAAGTGACAATAAAAAGTCCTATTCTATTCTATTCTATTCTATTCTATTCTATTCTATTCTATTCTATTCTATTCTACTCTACTCTACTCTACTCTACTCTACTCTACTCTAAATTCTCTTCCATCACATCCTATCCCATCCCATTCCATATTTTCTATTCTATTCTATTCTATTCTATTCTATTCTATTCTATTCTATTCTATTCTATTCTATTCTATTCTATTCTATTCTGTTCCATTCCTATTCCTATTCCTATTATTTTCTTGTTGTTCTTGTTACTGGCGAAGTCATGTCCAATCCATCACGACCTCATGGACAACGTTCCTCCAGGCCTTCCTGTCCTCTACCAACTTCTGGAGTGCATTTAAGCTCACGCCGACTGCTTCAGGGACTCCATCCATCCCCCTCCTTCTCTGCCATCCCTTTTTTCTTCTTCTTTTGCCCTCAATCTTTCCCAGCATTCGCCTCTTCTCCAGCGAGTCCTTCCGTCTCATGAGGTGGCCAAAGTCTTTGAGTTTCACCTTCAGCATCTGGCCTTCTAAAGAGCGGTCAGGGTTGATCTCCTCTGGGACTGACCAGTTGGAATGCCTTGCAGTCATTCCAATATTTATTCCACTCTGTTCTGTTCTGTTTTCTGTTCTGTTCTGTTCTATTCACAACTGTAAACAGACATTTCCCTGATTGGGGGAACAACCTAACGCAACCCATCCCTTCCCAATAGCCCCTTCTGTCTCCTCCACCCAGCCCGTCTTTTTCAGTTTTTCTTGCCATTTTTAGGGTGCATTGTTGACTCTGGAGGTTCTTCCTCCACATCGACATGCAAGAAAGAGCCGCACGTGTCTACCTACCACTTGTCTTCGTGCACCAATAAATCTAGGGTTAGATTTGCCCCCAAACTGGCCTGCCCTACCCCATGGCTATTCCAGCCCCAATCCAGCACCTGAGCAAGGGGCACATCGCTGGGCAGCCGTTCCTGGATGTCTAGAACCCACTGCAAGGGAACACGCAGCGGGGAGAAATCCGTCACTACCCCGCCGATGCCATGTTGGGTCACAAAGAGGGGCAGCGTGTCTTTTGCGAAACCGACCAGCAAGTGGAAAGGGATGTCGAGCAGCCGACACTCCTGCAGAATGGGAAAAAAGCAGTGTTATGCCCCACATTGGAGACTGAATCTGCGGAGGAAGATGAGCTGGAACAAGAGGCGACAGAGATTGAGAAGGCGGCTCCGTTGGCCTTGGAGCAGGGGGTGGGATTCTACCGGTTCAGACCGGTTTTATAGAACTGGTTGTTACGATTCTGCGCTGTTTGGAGAACAGGCAAATTGTGCCCCTGGCTGGACCCACCCACCCCTCTGCCCGCCCCTCCCCTCCTAATCAGTCCTTATCATGCATGTGTGACATAGTGCACATGCCCCGCATCGCTGACTGCATTCTCCCCCTCCTAGTTACTCGTTAAGTTGTTTCTTTTTTCCTCCCTCCTGACGATTAGCTGTTCCGATGATCAACTGTGCCGGGATTCCCCTCGCTGTCCTACTGCTTCGTCCAGGAGGCTTCCCTGAGGCCCAGGAGGCAAAAAAAAAAAAAAAAAAGGAGGGAAGAAGCCACGCCCACCCACTCACATGGCCACACCCACCTAGCCACGCCCACTTAGCCATGCCCACAGAACTGGCTGTTAAAAAATTGGAATCCTACCCCTGCCTTGGAGGAAACTAGGGAAGGGCAGAGTCAATCCAGGCAGGGCTTTTCAGGATCAGAAAGGCCTGCAGACAGGGAGGAGCAGAAGAGACAGATCTCAGGCTAAGAGCAGAGGAGACAGATCTCAGGCTAAGAGCAGAGGAGACAGATCTCAGGCTAAGAGCAGAGGAGACAGATCTCAGGCTAAGAGCCGAGGAGACAGATCTCAGGCGAAGAGCAGGGACCATCCCCTCCTGATCAGAGAGCACAGAGAGAAGAGAGAAGGCGAGACCAACGCAGACTGAGCCGGCTACAAGGGAGGAGAGTGTCCTGCCCCCACCCCGCTTCACAAGGCACACCTGGGGATTGAGATGTAAGGAGGTGCCGGTGGGAGGGGCATTTGTCGGGAACAAGCCTGGAGATTGTTGCACTCTGTCTTGTGGGGCTTGCCCTGTTTGCCTGGCTTACTGGACTTCTGGCCCTGGTTACTGTTTGGATTAACTTGGCTTATTGGACTGCTGGCCCTGGTTACTGTTTGGCTAACCTGGCTTATTGGACTGCTGGCCCTGGTTACTGTTTGGTTAACCTGGCTTATTGGACTGCTGGCCCTGGTTACTGTTTGGCTAACCTGGCTTATTGGACTGCTGTCCCTGGTTACTGTTTGGCTAACCTGGCTTACTGGACTTCTGGCCATGGTTACTGTTTGGCTAACCTGGCTTATTGGACTGACGGCCCTGGTTGCTGTTTGGTTAACCTGGCTTACTGGACTTCTGGCCCTGGTTACTGTTTTGCAAACCTGGCTTATTGGACTGCTGGTCCTGGTTGCTGTTTGTCTAAACCTGGCTTATTGGACTGCTGGCCCTGGTTGATGTTTCAGCTAACCTGGCTTGTTGGACTTGTTGCCCTGGTTACTGTTTTGCAAACCTGGCTTGTTGGACTGCTGGCCCTGGTTACTGATTGGCTAACTTTGCTTACTGGACTACTCGCAGCCAAAGGCTGCTGAAGATTACAGATTAACAGAGTGGGAAGGGACCTTATAGGTCATCTAGTCCAACCCCACGCCCAAGCACACCCTACACTGAGTGTGTGTGCTTGTGTTTGTGTCTAATGTGTGTGAGAGCTTTGCTCTAGGACTTGTAGTAAACCTGGGGACGTTTGGGGGGCAAAGTTGGAGCAGTAAAGGGGAGTTTGGCCTGTTATCTGGCTGTGTTGCTTTCGTGCCATGCCCCGGGTCATCACAAGCAGATTGTCATCAACACAACAGCCCATGCAACACAACGTGGAGAGCTTCCTGTTAGGCAAGAGCAGGCAGACTATAGTCCACACCCACCGCCCCAACAGTCTGAGGGACCATGAATTGGCCCCCCGTTTAAAAAGTTTGGGGACCCCTGAGCTAAGTTTTTCCCTCCTCCCTGTGGCCGCAATCAGAGATGGTATTTAGCAGGTTCTGACCCGTTCTGGAGAACCGATAGCGGACATTTTGAGTCGTTCAGAGAATCGGAAAATCCCACCTCTGACTGGCCCCGCCCCTATCTATGCTCCGCCTCCCATTGAGTCCCAGCTGAATGGCTGTCTCTCCTTTTGTTGCCCTGCACAGGAGAACGGAGCTGGAAAGCAGGTTAGTGGGGTGGGGAGGGAAGGGGGATTTTGCAGTAACCTTCCCCTGCCACGCCCACCAAGCCATGCCCACAGAACCAGTAGTAAAAAAAATTGAATCCCGCCACTGCTTGCAATGCCAACCACCCTACCCTCTAATACCGCTAATACCTCGGCGACTTCCTCCAGGCCTCTGAGCATAAAACCGAAGTGGCGGATGGTGGCATCCAGGAATTTGGGCACCAGGCAGAAGCAGACGTGCAATGGCAGGCGCTGTTTCAAGGCCAGGCGCTGGGCGTAAAGGAAAGCCCAGTTATCTGCAAGAAGGATGCGCAGGGGTGAGAAGCGTCATGGCTGCCAGATGCCAGCCAAAAAAACAACAACCCAAAGGGCCTTCTGAGTAGAGATATCTGTGGTCAAAAAAAGACAAAATGGCCACCGCCCTCGTACGAGCAAAGCATTCTCGGGCCTCGTTCCTGTGTCTCAACTGTCAGAGAAGAATATTGCAACTTTAACTATAAGAATATTGCAACTTCTTATAAAGAAAACTTACATAAAATGTTTTATCTATTTTTTAAATTAATTTTTTTTTAAACAAAATTATAGATCTCTATTTTACATTAACAGCATTGTGTCATTAATAATACATATATTTGCTTTTTATACCTATACATCAATTCTTATTTCTATATTCTACCCCTTTGTACCACCTATCCCAAACCGATTCATCCTTGCCTTTTAATTCCGCTGTGAATTTATCCATTTCCTCACAGTCCATTTTTTTTTGTATCAGATTCTCTTTGGATGGTATCTTTTTTTCCCCCCATCCCTGTGCGAAGGCTATCCTCGCCGCCGTTATAATATGTATAATGATGTATCGGATAGACTTGCTAAATTTTCCCTTAATAATTCCTAGTAAAAATATTTAAGTTCTAATTGGTATTCTGTAATTTCTAATAGCCATCTTTGTATCCACATCCAATATTTTTTTGCTTCTGGGCATTGCCACCACATATGAAAAAATGTTCCCTCTTTTTGTTTACATTTCCAACAATCTGATTTTATATTTGGATATGATTTTATATTTGGATATGATTTTATATTTGGATATATTTTAGCCAGTCTTGCTGGGGCTAAATGCCATCTATAAAACATTTTGTACTGATTTTCTTTAAATGCTGTTGACAATGTTAATTTGCAATTATTAATCCACATTCTTTCCCAGTCTTCTAATTTTATATTATGACCTATGTTTCTTGCCCAGGCAATCATTGGTCCCTTCACTATCTCTTCTAGTTCCACTTCCAATAAATAACTATACCTTCTTGTTATGAATTTTTCCTCTTTGCCTGTCAAAATTTGGTCTAGCTGTTGTAGATCTTTTTCAATCCCGTGTTCTTCTAAATCCTTTCTAGTTTTGTCTGAACATAAACTTTTTTATAGATGGTACCTACCACCTGCTAGGTTAGCTAAAATGTTTAAAAATATGTCTAGCAAATGTTGGAAATGTAACCAAAAAAAGGGCACATATTACCACATATGGTGGACCTGTATTAAAGAAAAAAAAATTGGGCAAAAATACATAAGTGGTTAGAAAGGATGATAGGACAACACATAGATTTTAAACCTGAACTTTTTCTATTAGGTATAGCACCAGAAAAATTTGATAAGTAAAATATATATTTAATATTGCATGTCTTAACAGCAGCGAGGATTAGATTTGCACAATATTGGAAAAATGAAGAAATACCACGAGATAAAGTGCTAGTTAGGAAGATACTGGAGAAATGTGTGATATGTGCAAAATGAGATTTGTGCAGAAATGGACCGACTTACATTGAAGATTAAACAGAAAGAAGATACAGAATATTATCGAACTCACAGCCTCCTGATTGTGTGGCAACCACACCACTCTAAGGTGGGAAACAAGGATATAGGGTGCTAATTCCGCTGTGATCACTTACGGTTCAATCCATCCTGCTAAACCCCAAATGCGGGTTTAATTGAGGAAAGGCATTGACCCGGTTGTGTGAACCCAACCACGACCTCTCCTGCACTCAAGAACTGGACCAATCACCATTGAGTAGTTTCCGCCATGCGGGATCTGCAATCTCACCTTGAACCCTCTGATCGCGAGACATCCAGTACAAGATCCCCCGAGCGCCCTCCTTCAGATCGGGAGCCGGAGAGATCAACCGGACACGTTTCTTGTTGTATGGGAAGTCTGCGACGGAGGCTCCCGCACTCAAACGGCCTTCCTTCACCGTCTCGGCCAAGCTCTGGGTTGGAGCATCATCCAGAGATTTGGACTTCTTCCTTGCAGGGAAGGCCTTCGTGCCAGCGTGGTCCGGTTTTTGGCCTCCCTCCAAGCTGTCAGACGCAGATGTGATGGGCCCGAGCTTCCTCCTCTTTGGAGACATGGCCGCGACTTCAAAAACAGGTCTTCGCAAAAAGGGAGGGGAACGTAAGCAGACGGAGACCCTTTGATGGAGACACACACAACCATCACCCCCTTTCCTAGATTAAATTAAAATCGAGCTGGGTTAGCTCCCCAAACACGATAAACCTTCTGACGTTATTCGGAGTGCCGGCAGCCCCAGCGAAAAGTTTCTCTCCCACCGCAGGCTAACGAGTGCGTCCAGGCGGAAGATGAATAGTGGTCTGTCACATCTATTCATCTCCACCCCCTGCCTTTTCTCCCTAGGGTGGGACTTCACTAGCAGCTGTGGCTCTTCCGTCCCAAGGACCTGCTTATTGATTTTCACTGCTCTCCTCTCCTCTGCCTTCTGCACATTAGCATGTCAGGCACTTCCTCATCAGCCACCTCCAGACCTGGGAGCTGTTATGTCAGTGTATAAGAGTTCATGAGTTGGAAGAGACATGGTAACAGGTCAGCCAAGGGAGACAGTTTGGTGACCCAAACAACTTGGAGCCTGGGCGTGGCTTAGCTTGACTGACCTGTGTATAAGAGTTGCTTTGTCCTTGCAATATTGCCTCTGCGTTGTGTAGTTTCTGTGCTTCAGTGCTGGTGCTTCGGATTGCTTCTGCTTCTTGTACTTGCTGCCATGTTGCACCATGTTTTATATTGTTGTACATAAAGAAGCTTCTTTTATAAATGAATCCTGCTCAATTATTTACTTGTGTGCCGGTTGGATTGCTGCAAACTCTAACATGTTGACTGTCCATCGGAGGGCTGACTCAGGGATGGGATTCAAATTTCTTAACAACTGGTCCTGTGGGTGTGGCCTAATTTGTAGGTGTGGCTTGATAGTCATGTGACTGGGTGGGTGTAGCTTGCTGACTGGGCATGGCTTGGTGGTCATGTGACTGACTGGGCATGGCTTGTATGTAAATATTATAAATATTTACGTAAATATTGAATTTTTTTAATAAAAAAAGCAACTTTTACCCAAAATCAGGCAAAGCAGGCAGGCAGATTGAGTTGCTCACAGAATCACAGATTCACTCAGAGATCTAACTTTCTGCAATCTGCTGCCTGAGTCTGCACTGAAAAATAGAAGCTTCTGTCCTAAGGAAGGTTCAGCTCTGCTTTTAGATTAGCTAGAAAGCAAGAAATCCAAGGATTTCTTGTTTTCTAGCCACTCTAAATCTCCTGGCACAGCAGAACAGCTGACGGTTGGGGGACAAAAAGGGAAAAAATAGCAACTTACGAAACACCGGCAAATTGGATGGTACACGTGCCAGGTAAGGAGTGAGTGGGCAGGGAGGGGCGGGGCCCGCCAGTGGCGCAATTTGCCAGTTCTCCAAACTTCGCAGAATCATAACAACCGGTTCTACAGAACCGGTCCGACCCGGTAGAATCCCACTCCTGCCCTGACTCCCACGCCTCCTCCTCCTCTGATTTGGCTGCTGGACAGGCCACAATACCTACAAGGAGCAGGACCTGAAGATTATTTTTTTCAGCATTGGTGCCCAGCTACACTTATACAAAGGTAGACTGCCTCTGAGGGTGGAGGTTCCACTGAATGTCCATATGAGGAATCTTCTCCAAAAGGGAGATTTCTCGCTTCGGTTGAGATTCCCACCCAATGCTCCAGAAGCATTAAGGGACATGTCGCACACCTCCTCCCATTTTCTTGTAACAACAACCCTAGGAGGTAGACAGGGGTGTGTGATTAGGTAGTCCTCGACTTACGACCGCAATGGAGCCCCTTAGCAAATTTATGTCGCTAAGTGAAACATTTGTCAAGGGTGAGAGAAACGTATTCTAAGTTACTCTTTCATAATAGGATTGTAAGTATGATTAAGTTTGGCTTTTTCTGTTAATTTCCTCTTTCTTTTTACATTTAGGTTTTACACCCCCTAAAACCTAAAATGTGTTCAGTGACAAGTACATGATGCATTATTACGACCTTCTAGGAAAATAGGAAGATCTGCCCAGGCGAGACAACAAGTAAATAAGATAAGGAACATCCTCCCAAGGTAACGCCCAGCATTAAGACCAGATAAGACACTGAGACCAAGGAAACAATATCATGTTGACCCTTAAGCTTATAGCAGTGGTGGCTAACCTTTTTGGGCTCCTGTGCCAAAAATTGTGCACATGTTTGCACGCCCGTGCTCCCGTGCCAGCACCCAGAAGGCAATGCACACACCCCCATGCCCCCTACGCACGCGCGTGCAATACCTACCCACCCCCCTACCTGCACTGCACCTGACAGCTGATTTTCCGCCGGTTTGAGGCCTCCCAGAGGCTTCTGCAGGCTTTGCAGGCCGAAAACTAGGCCCGTTTCATCACTTCTGGTATTTCCGGAAAAACAGGTAGTGACGAAACGGACCTAGTTTTCGTCCTGCAAAGCCTGCAGAAGCCTCTGGGAGGCCGAAGAAGGCCACAAACCTGCCGAAAATCAGCTGTGAGGCGCGCACATGCCCCAGTGAGGTAAGTTTGCCTGCAGTTCGCGTGCCGGCACAAATGGCTCTGCGTGCCCCCTGCGGCACGCGTGCCATAGGTTCACCATCATGGGTTTATAGTAATCTCTTCTTAAGAATGTAGAATCTAAAGGGGGTGTAAGGCGGGCCTCTTAGGCGTGGCGTGTTTTGTGCAGGGCATAAATGTATCGTTTGAATATGGAATCTTGCTCTCCTTGTATTCAATCCACTCGGAGGCCATGCTTCTATTTTTCTTCAATAAACCTTTGAAATTGTGCACCAGACTTGTCTTCGTATTGTGAGTATAAATTTATTTGGGGGTCTTATAGCTCACAAGGGAATTATGCCCCGTTTTACAACTTTTCTTGCCACGGTTGTTCAATGAACCACTGCAGTTGTTAAGTTAGAAACATGGTCGTTAAGTGAACCCAGCTTCCCTGTTGCTTGTCAGATGGTCGCAAAAAGGGACCGCGTGACCCCCGGGGACGCTGCGATCGTCATAAGTAGGAGTCAGTTGTCAAGTGTCCGAATTTTGATCACCTGATGCCACAAACGGTCGTTAAGTATGAAAAACGGTCATAAGTCATTTTCTTTACAGTGCCGTTGTAACTTCGAATGGTCACTAAATGACCGGTCGTAAGTCGAGGACGACCAACATTTGAGAACTTCCCAGCCGGCTTCTGGGGAAGCAAAGTCAATGGGGCGGGGGAGCTGGATTTGCTTAATGACTGCCTGACTCACTTAATAACCGCAGTGAGTCGCTTAACAACAGTGGCAAAAAAAGAAAGATCGTAGAATCAGCTATGACTCACTCAACAACTGCCTTGCTTAGCAACAGAAATTCTCGTCCCAGTGGTGGTCATAAGTCAAGGGCCAACTGTGGTCATAAAGCGAGGACCAAGTGTATTGGCTTTGCGTGGCAATTTAACTTTCACAATCCAATCTCAGCCTAATTTAAGTCTGTTAAGTATCCCTGGAATCTCTATATATCAAAAGCGAAATGCCCCTCACGCATCATCACAAAATCTCCAGAATCGTAAAGCCTACAAACTTGAAATTGGGTCCGTATCTTCCTCTTGGCTTCTAGGGGCTCAGTAAGAAAGGATTTTTCCCAATGCCCATCAGAGTATTATTAGTATTTTGCATATTATTATTATTATTATTATTAACACGCTCTGATGCTAAAGAGTTCTACTCCCCCTCCCCACCCGAAAAAAAGAAATCTCTCCCAAAAGCCAAACACAAGCAGAGGAGTTTCAGTTTCAGTTTCACAGCAGCACCAAGCAGCTTTAGGACAGAACAGTTGAGCTAAGCCACGCCCAGGCTCCTTGCTGTCTCCCTCTTGCTCACACAGCAAATACAGTTTCAGTTTCCAAACAGCCCTCAACTCTCTTTCACACACTGACAGGACGCTAGCCAATGGATGCTGGTAGGCAGAGGCAGAATTTCCTCCCCCCCCCTTATTTTCCTCCCCAAAAACTAAGTACGACCACATGGTTTCGTAGCGAAGCACGGGTATCGAGCTGCTTAAGCATAAACCCAAGTCAGACTTACATAGATAGAATGATATCTCAGAGATATCCCTTGATGCCCCTAGCTGGCTGGTGTGTTTGTGTTTGTGCATGTCGGTTTGTGTTAGGATTCTGGGCTGTGATGTTCCTTTTCGTTTCTTTATTATAAAGGCCTTTTTGGATCTACAAAAGAGCATTTAATAATCCCAAGCAGGCTGTTTAATTCAGGGGTCTTCAAACTTGACCGCTTTAAGACTTTTGTGGACTTCAACGCCCACAATTCCTCCTCCACTCATGTTAGCTCAGGAATTCTGGGAGTTGAAGTCCACAAGTCTTAAACTTGCCAAGTTG